TATTTTATTTTTTTGTTGACAAACTATCATTCAACTTAGAATTATTTTATGCAACAAATTATAATAMATATGCAGCCTGCACATAACAGAAAAATTAAGAAATATATTATAAACGCAAATAATATACCTAAGTACAACAAAAAGATGAACAAAAACGAGACACTTGACCTACACACACGCAAATAGAACGAAAACGATGTGCCGAATTTCGAAAATAAAAAAGGCATATTCCGATATCTGTATCACTACAGACAATAGATGAGTGTATGCGTGTGCTTGTGTGTGTGTGCATTTGTATGTGATTAAAAATAAGACCGAAAATTTTACATTTGGCTCAAATTAACGATCTCTTCAAATATCTTTGCAGAAAATCCCGACAGTATCGGCGAGCTATGACAACGAGACGCACACCGGTTCGAGGAGTAGCGCGATCAACTCGAGTCAACCAAAGTATGTTTTACTAAATCGTGTCATAATCGTGTCACATCTATTTTACTAAATATTTTCACACAATTTTTTAATTGACTACTTACAATTTGAGGCATTCGATAAAAAAAAACAAAATTTAACGAAAAACAATTATAAAATTTTATAAACATATTAAAACCGTTATTGATTGCCTTGCAACATAAACGTAGTTGTAGTCTTGGTGCTGGTTATTTATAAGTCTATTCCTATTCTCTCGTGCAGTGCAATAGTTTATTTATTATAAATAAAAATAAAAAAATGTATAAAAACGTAGACAATAATTCATCAACAACAATGTTTGAAATGTACACTTCTTCGGATAGATTCATACGTCCGGATATGGTTGATGTGCCGGCACAACAGGCCGCCGGATCCACGTTGCCATTGGTGTTGACCCGTAAAAAAGGCGATGAGGAGGATGTCAATTATAATCCGTTCGAGCACCGGAAAGTCGATCACCCGACCTCGTGAGTATTAACTATACTGCTATTAACTATATGTCTTAAATAATATTTTTGGGTTGAGTTTTGGGTAAAAATGAAAATTGTTGGGTTGCGAAATGTAGAAAAACTAGTATAAATTATAAAACTGGTATAATTCGGTAGAAATATATCAAAATTAGTTATTTTGGAGAGTGACGAAAAAAACAAGAAACTGGTATAAATTATAAAACTGGTATAATTAAGCAGGAACAGGTAAGCAGTAGTTATACTACTCGCAAAGTGACGCATTGAATAGAAAACTTTTGTACATAGACTAAACTGGTATAATCTAGTAAACATAGACTTGCGGTTATAACATTTAAAGAGTGGCGAACTGAACCGAACACTTAAAATACAAATTGGTATAATACAGCAGACATAAAATAACTTGCGATTATACCATTTGAGAAGGACGAACGGAAGATAAATCTGGTATAAATAATATAAATTGGTATAATAAAGTAGACATTGAAAATATGCAATTTAGAAAGGATCTAAGAGTAAACTGGTATAAATGAAAATACTTGTATAATCCAGTATAGTCTAAAAATCTTATAAAGCGATGATTTTAGTAGAGATAGCATAAAACAAACGGTTTTATTTGGTTGAGATATTCTAATACTCTCTTGTCTAGAAATTGAAAATATAAGGTTGGAGTAGTTTTTAAAATTAAATTTTTTACATGAGTATGGAGAAAGTCGCGAATAGAAGATGGTTTAAGGCTTGAACGTATCTTGGCAATTTCACAATAATTAATTTCCTGGTTTTGACCGCCGTGTTTTCCACCTAAAATGGGAAGTACCTTCTAGTTACAGGAAAAGAAAAAATAAAATAAAATTAAATTAAATTAACAGCAAATTTTCCAATAAAAATAATTGTTTTCCTCCGAACTTGCTCACAATAAAATGAGTCACAGGAAATTTGCATACAAATTTGGCACAGCTAATGTCTATCTCGTGAGACTTCTCGTGAGAATACGAAAAAACTTATATTGCTCATGGAAAGGCAACAAATAACAATAAATTTAAATTTAACAAAAAATTGCGGAAAGACAATAATTAATATTTTTCTGCCACATAAAAGATCACTGAATTTTTCCATTGCGACGGTGATCGCATCGCAACACTTTTAATTGTATATTAATTTCTTATGCGTCATTAACAGCGCAAAAAGTGTCTAGGTCACGCGCTGATGCCTCTTATTACTGCCACCTTGCTAATATATTATTACTTCTATTCTCGCAAACACAAATATTTACATAGCTCCCGGTGTGAGTATAATATGCGCTGCATGAGCGATCGATGGATGCATTGACTAACAATATGCTTTCGGTTGTAAATTTTTGACATTTTTACTTCATTGACTTAAAATGAAAATAAAGTATTCTGAACAATAACTGGTATAAGTACCAATATATAGTACTTTCAAAATATAGAATTTACAAATCAAAATTTTACGCTTAGAACAAATAATGTCTCCATATCTCAATCTTTTTCTCATTTTCGATGTTATTCCAGAAGCGAAGTGATCTACAGTTTCCCTGTCGAATAAAAATTAGTGAGAATGAAAAATCTTTTTAGCTAACCGATTTGTAGGTTATTCTAATTGACTTGGCTAGAATCATGAATGTTCGTATTGGTTTGGTGTGAATGCGAATTCAGAACCCATTGTTTGGTTCTATATTGTCATAAATATCTCATTGGTGTCACCATTGGTAAAGTAACAATCCTTTTCTTGTTGGATCTATATAAGATCTTACCATATGACCTTGTTTTACCAAAGAATATTGCATGATATCATTTGATACCCATATCGGGTTATTTTTTCCATGTTTTATTTGAAGATACCACTTTGAGTATTTCGGTCCATAACTCGATACAAGAATGTGGTTCCAAATTGTTTTAAAGTTATTTGCATTTTTGTGTTCAAAACAGAGCAGATCGGACAAGTTGTTTCGTTCTTAAGGTTGGGTGGTTGAGAGGTACAGCCGAAAAGAATCGACCGTTCTTAAAATAATATTGGACTCATTTATTTTAAATCTTACAGATAGATATAATCTGTATCGGGTTGTCTTACTATCTGTTCGACTTCTCGTCAATAATCTAATCTGGATCGGAATATTTAATTTACTTTCTATTCGACTAATTGTCTATAGGCCTATAAAGTATATGCATAGTTGACAATCGATTATATAGTAAAGCTCCCAAGTTCTATCAAAAATTCTCAGGAACCATTACTAAATTGACTCATTTTATGACTGATCATAATATCCTTTGCTGGGTCTGGGTTAGGTTGTTGAAAATAATGGCTCATCCGAATTGAAGTGAAGTATATTGTGTTGAGATTAGATCACTATCAAGTTGATAGTTTGTGCTAAAAATTATGAAATTATATTTAATATCTTATGGAGTTTGTCATTTAGTTCAATCAACAAGATCAAAAGTTAACATTGACCTGAAGCGATTAAGTGATCGTGATCCTGAAACAAGATGAGAAAACTTGTTTCTAAACTAGCAAAGGTTATTTAAAGCGTGAGAAAACAGATTTCTTTTTGGTTCGTCTAAATTTGAAAAAGCAGTTTATTGGGGTTTACAAATAAACTCTCTAAAAGAAAGTTCTAATAGTATCGACCTAAAAAAGAGCTTTTGGAAAAATTACTACAATCTGTGCATATAACAGTGATGTTTCTGAAAGAGTTACTGATTACGAAATGAGATACATGAAATAGACAATATACGGATTCGGAAATTGCTCCTTTGATATTGAAAGCAAAACTTTGACCTCAAACATCAATAGAAGCAAAATGGCATACATAAAGTCAACAGCTGCCAAATTGGCTTTTTAATGATCTTCCATGGTCTTGAACTTCAAGTACGGCCATTGCCATCAAAACAGTGAAAATGCGCAAAAAACCACGGCCAAAAACCCAACGACATGTTTTGCAAAATTTTCGCAACAAACGTACATTGAGATCAGCAAACAATGTACGTGGCTGCCGGTAATTTTCCACTTCATCAAACTTTGATCTCAAAACCCACACACAGCATACGAAAACAACCCGCACAAATATGTCCACTTAGTATGCAGCTACAAAGGTATGCTGTAGATCGCGACACGACGTCAGCGGAAATTTTCACATGGCGTCGCCGAAACTTGGCACCACCACTTAGTAGTGTCCTTGGTATTGAAAAAAGAATTGCGAATATGTACGTGTAAGTGCAGCCGAAAATAAATAAATGCGAAGCGAATAGATAAGCGAAGCAAAAAACTGAAGATAAAGAAAGCGTAAAATGTATGCAGATAAATTAGGAATGTAACACTGAAAAGAGAAATTTGTTGGCATAAATTTACGATTATACATATATGTATGTATGTGTGCGTGTAATTTATCTACGGGTTTATGTGTTGAAGACGCTAATTGGATTTGTAGAAAATATGATTTCCTCTGTATTTGCTTGCGAGCGTATAAGTTGGCGCCAAGCCCAGCTAACGATCACTCAACACTCACACTCTCACTGCGGCGAAGATCATGGGCTCGTTGCTCGTTCCCTTTGCACCCCTCTGCTACCCTTTACACTAACGCTTTTGACAATTAGCCGCCGATTTATTGTGTGAAATTGTCAATTAAATCCATTTGTAATTTTCCATCACGAGCGGCTCGAGTGAGATTTAGAGAGCTAGCACTGATCAGCAGCTATATTTAAATTACAATTTTATTTCAATTTCAGTTATTTAAACTAATTAATGTTTTCCCCACATTTCGATTGAATTTATCACTTAAATAATACTGTTTTTATCGACGAGTTTTTAAATAGATTTTATTTTTGTCATTTATTTAAGAAAAACGGTACTCTAATGTATTCTCTTGTGCGCCTACATAATCAATTTATGTCAATTGTCGGTGATTAATTTATTTTTTTGGCGGCCTTTGCAATTTCTTGGCAATCTTTGCAATTTGTTTCAGGTATTATTTACCTAAAATAAGAGCGAGAGGGTGAAGGGTGCTATTGTCTTCGATATTTGGCCAATTATTCGAATATTCTCTATTTGTACAATAAAATATTTCCTACAGACTTGACAGACGTTCAGGCAGAAATTAATGTTCTGATCAGGCTTTCCTTCCTTTATTCAAAGTATACATACATATATGGGAACATTCAAATCTAAATCGAATTACGTCGTTTGAAGGCATTGTGATCTATTTGATATTTCAAGAAAAAGAAGCAATCCATTCTTTTAGTAATATTTTCTACCGTTTCTAGTTGAAAATGTCTTCTAAAACTTTGGGTTTCGAGACATAAGTGGTTAAGATTCTAACTAATAACGTATTTCCAGGCATTCCCAGACGGAATTTAGATGCTGTAAAGTTTGAGGACTGCTTATTTACCGTCAAAGTACTTAGGACCAATTTGATATTTACGTTGTTACGGTCACTACGTAAAGGATCACTTCATTAGAGACTGTTCGTGTTATTGCAGTGGCAGAAATCATTCTCGAAGTAAGTTCGGGAAATGGTGCCGAGTTGACAGTCCTTGCCCGACTAAAAATCCGGTTATGTGCCAATTACTAAGGCTCGACTGTCATGGGCACGGTTCATTAGATAATCTTATCATTTTGTGTAAAAGGATAACTCTGCAGCATGATTTTTCTTACATTTCAAACTGTAAATTACGCAATTCTAACTTCTACTTCTTCTTGATTGGCGTAGACACCGCTCACACAGTTATAACCCTGTTTATAATAGCGCTCCATTCGTTCTTCCCTTCCGCTGTTTAACGCCAATTGGAGATTCCAAGTGTAGTTCTACCTGGTTTTACCAACGGAGTGGAGGTCTTTCTCTTCCTCTGCTTCTCCCGGCGTGTACTGTGTCGAATACTCTAAGAGTTGGAGTGTTTTCATCCATTCGGTCGACATAGCCTAACCAGCTGTTGTGTCTTCTTCATTAGGCTTTTTGAAGTGGTGGGTCCCAAACCCAGTTCACAACCCTAGAGAGTAATGAATCGCCTTCAAACTGATGTTTTTTTTGGCTACGTAGGGGATACTTATTCATTTAATATGTATTACATATAATCATTTCTGGGCACTTTCCATAGAATGCCAATCAAAAAACTTGCATGACTCCATCCTCTACCCGATTCCAATCAATAATAATATTTCTAAGCACCCTTGGTCGATATATATATATATGTATATATAACGCACATACGAGTATGTGGGTGTTGTAGACCTTTACGCACGCTTCTTAAACATTTACAACGTCAAACCGTTATAAGGTTTCTTGACAATGTGGATTCTCCATTACATAATCTCTTCGATTATTTGTTATCGGACATCTCTGTATTGTATTTTCCACAGCCTTCTGAAGATAATCCTTTATTGAATCTAAGTTTGGCGTTAACAATTATTTGTTTTCATATAACATACGAATTCCAGGCGATGTTAAAGATGTTGGAAACTTCTACAATCGTTGTGGATGATTACTACGAAGTAAATTTTTAACATAGAATATTGTTACTGATCGTAAGATAGTTACTTTTATGTAACAACGGCATTTTTAACTGCTGAGCTAGAAAGTGACGGTACTTCAACACACGAGTCGGATCTCCGATTTCATCTCGAGTTCTGGAACTGCATTGAAGGATCTTCATACATTTTATAGGGGTTGGCTGACAACCAGTTTCTATGCAACTATGAGATTCGTTTGGTTAAGAGTAGATCGCAAGAGATCCATTGAATTGATTGCCCTTAGCAAATGTCATCTCGCTGCAATCGTAGAGATTTTTACTGGACGCTGTTCAACAGGCATTCATGCGGTAAGGCTAAACATTTTGTCGGATACAAATTATCAAAGCAATATGGAAGAAGATGACGAAAAGTGGCATTAGCCCTCTCAAATAATGTGTGTTATGTGTAAATCGTCATCGATTTATGATTGTCTTATGTTCAATTAGGTGTTTTAGATAGCACAACGGACCGGTGCTCTAAGCTTTCCATGTAAGATACCTGTTAGGATCGACTTCTTAACCTAACCCAACCATGACGATCGAATTTAGGTACAATAAAGAAGTGTAATTCTATGGAAATTTCTTTAGAAGTAGTTGGGAGAAATCTTTAACATTTGAAAAGTGCAACAAGTAACAGTTAATTAGATTGAAGACGAACTCTTGTGGAAGAAAGGGGCTTTCGAAACTTATTATAGGAAAGATATGAACACTGAAAAAAAGAACGAAATTATACAATTAAGATATAGGCTCATTGTGGAGGAAATTATTTAAAACTTAAAACAATTCAATTTACTAAAAGTTAATTATGAGTTGATTTACAAACCTGGTACTCTCCTGCTCATCTAACTTATTACCTCATTTAAATGTATTTTAACCTAAAATAAAATACGATAATCCTTTATTTCCACTAACATGTAACATTTCTTTCCCTTCTAGCGATATGGAGACCTTCGTGCATCTGCTGAAGGGCTCACTCGGCTCCGGTATACTTGCCATGCCGATGGCCTTCATGAACGCTGGTCTGTGGTTGGGCTTAATCGCTACCTTTGCGGTGGGCACACTTTGCACCTACTGTGTGCATATACTGGTCAAATGCGCACACATCCTCTGCCGGCGGCGTAAAATACCGATGATGGGTTTCGCCGATGTGGCCGAACAAGCCTTCCTCGACGGACCGCCCGGTTTGAATCGCTGGTCTCGTTTCATCCGTTTCATGGTAAATGTCTTCCTTGTCATCGATTTGATTGGCTGCTGTTGCATTTATCTGGTGTTCGTCGGCACAAATGTCAAGGCGGTGCTGGATGAATATATGGACGAACCATTGAATATACGCGTATGGATTGTAATTGTTACCTGTCCATTGTTGGTTATGTGCCTGGTGCGCAATCTGAAGTATCTCACACCCTTCTCGATGATCGCCAATATTTTGATGTTTGTCGGCATTGTGATTACATTCTACTATGTATTCGATGATTTGCCTGCACCATCGGAACGCGAGGGCATTGTGAATGTCGTGCAGTGGCCACTCTTCTTCGGCACTGTCATTTTCGCATTGGAAGGTATTGGTGTAGTTATGTCGTTGGAGAACGACATGAAGAACCCTGCACATTTCATTGGCTGTCCGTCGGTGTTGAACTTCGGTATGGGTGTGGTGATTTCGCTGTACACTTTGGTCGGATTCTTTGGTTACTTGAAGTATGGTTCGAAGACCCAAGGCAGCATTACGTTGAATTTGCCGGCAGAAGACAAGTAAGTTTTTGTGTGTTGTTGTTGTTATTGTAACATTCTAATTGTCTTACTTTTGTTTCACAGATTGGCTCAGTCTGTCAAGCTTATGATTGCCATTGCGATCTTCTTCACATTTACGCTGCAGTTCTATGTGCCGGTGAGCATCATTTGGAAGGGCATTTCGCACAAGATCTCCGAGGAGCGCAAAAATATTAGCGAATACGCACTGCGTATTGCTTTGGTGGTGAGTATTTGATTTTTTTACTTTTTTATATACATACATTCATAGTGTATGGATGAGACAAAAAGTTCGGAAGGGACTTAAAGCTCCAATGAGACTAAAAGTTCTTTATCAGAGCTGTTTTTTTAGAAGTAAATAAGCCTGGTCTATTTATAACCTGTAGATAACCTGAAATGTTATTCCTTTTTTTTATATCCGAGATAGTTCTTGAAAATCAAGATCTCAAGGGTTACGGACCGGTCTAAGCGAGTTCAGCTCTCATTATATTCGTTACAAATTACATCAGATTTGAATAAACTAGTTACTAAATCTTATATACCATAGAACCCGACTGAAACTGACCCATTACGGGCCATATAACTCATCGCAGGAAATTTTAAAGTTAACATTTTCGTATAAGCTATGTTCTACATAAAGCCATCTGTGAATCTAGAACTGCTTACCAAACCATAACAAAGGAACACATTTCCGGAAGGATCTTGAACCTTGGTTGGCTTCTAAATTTTTAGGAACAATTTTAGATTTTAGTTCTACTTAAGATCCACCGGATGAAAATGACTTTAATAATCCTGTTCATGATTCGGAGCATATATTGCATAGCAACCTAAAAAATTCCACAGATACATTTTGTGGAATACTGACAGCCTTCGATCAGATAAAAATTCGGGTCCGTTCCATTTATGTACGAGTAGATCCGACCACTTTTGGGAACGAATAAGAGGATAAGTTAGGTGACGAGATCTAAGGTGGAGATACAAAGACAGAAGGCCGGATAAAAATTTGGGACCGTTCCAGTGAGTGAAGAATAGTTGTGGGTTTACAGTATACTCACAAGTAAAATACCTGCTCTTACTCTTCATCCATTTTATATAGAAACGAAATAACTCATCTGACTTCGTATACTTTGCTATAAGGTTTTTTGCCAAACGATAATACCTCGCAAATTTGAAATATATATATATATATATGATAAGTAAGCTTAGGACCAAATTTCTGCTAATTAGGGTCTTTGTAATGTCTGTAAGTTTTTCATTACTTCACATTTCTACTCGTTCAGGAGTTACCAAATGCAACTCTGGATCGAGAGCAAACTTAATCTCAACACAAACGGTACTCCTCGTCGTTTTTTGAGCAATACCAAATATATTATTTATTAATAACTTTCTTTCATACATTTCAGATCCTTTGTGGCGCCATTGCCGTTGCGTTACCCAATTTGGGTCCCTTCATCTCACTGATCGGTGCTGTGTGCCTGAGTACGCTCGGCATGATCATACCATCGGTCATCGAATTGGCTGTGTATCATGAGGATCCCGGCTACGGTCGCTTCAAGTGGCGTCTATGGAAGGATATCGGACTGATTATCTTCGGCATAGTGGGCTTTGTAACCGGTTTATACGTAAGCATACTCGAGTTCCATGCCGAATTCAGTGGTGGCCACATAGGTGAAAATGCCTCATAATTGAAGCATTCGTGAGTGACCTGCAGTATCACAAAGTAACAAAAACAACAAAATATAAGTTTAATTATGCAAGATAATAATAATCTAATATACATACATATATATATACACATATGCATATAGCTTTAGTGATGTAGTTTAGTAGGAAACGTAAAACAAAAAAAAAAATTTTTTTTAAATACAATAACAACATTTAATGCAGCTTTATGTCGATGCGCGCGCGTATTTTGCATATCGAACAGTAATTTTAACCCAACCAAACCAAAACAAATGAACAGTTAACACAATTCGTAGAACTACTTGTAATTAGTAAGCAAACACACACACATATACACATTTGTAGAGTAATGCGTTAATTTTAACATTTATATTCACGAATAATGAGAAACAAAACAAAAATCCTAAAGAAATCACCGTTTTCCGAACAAACTACCGTTGAACTTTACATGCGGCGTGTATCAGCGCTGCGCTACACAGTTGATTTAGTCATGTAAGATTTTTATTTAGTTTGTAAATGGAAAGCAAAAGCAAAAACAAAACCAATGTAATGTATGTATGTAAAGTTTTGATTTCGTTTGTGCGCCACAAGCGTGTGGCAAGCGCAAATGCGGCAAGCAAAGTAGTAGTAATAATGTAGTATTTTTTTTGTTCCTTCGCCGGCTGCGTCCGCATGCGTCCAGCTGGCGAACTCCAATTGGTCTGTGAAGTTTTCTCTTTAGGAAAGAAACAAAGATTTTATTTTTAATGCAAGTTTATGCTAATTTGTAATGTCTAATTTACTAAATATGCAAATGAAGTATTCACTCTTTGTGGTTTACGTGGCTGTTGACGCAGATTGTTGAGCAAATGGTTTGCGCAAACTTTTAGCGAAAAAGTTAAAACATATATATATATAGATATATTTAAATGGTTTAATTTTAACGGTAAACAAGATATTTGTAAACAAATTGTGACTTTGCG